ATCACAGAGTCACAGGACAGGACAGGTTGCAGAAGGGACACCTGATCCCACCTCCCTGGTCCAGCAGGGTCATCCCAGAGCACATGGCACAGGACTGTGTCCAGATGGTTCTGGAATATCCCCTGTGAGGGAGACTCCACGCCCTCTCTGGGCAATCTGTCACTTGCACAGTAAAGAAGCTCTTCCTAATGTTCAGGTGGAACTTCCTGGGCACCAGTTCCTGCCCGTTGCCTCCTGTCCCATTGCTGGGCACCCCCGAGCAGAGCCTGGTCCATCCTCTGACCCCTCCCTGCAGACACTGACAGACATTGTTCAGGTCCCCTCTCAGTGTCTCCTCTCGAGGCTGAACAGCCCCAGCTCCCTCAGCCTTTCCTCATCAGGGAGATGCTCCATCCCTTCATCATCTCTGCAGCCTCTGCTGGACCCGCTCCAGGAGCTCCATGTCTCTCTTGTACTAGGGAGCCCAGACCTGGACACAGCACTGCAGATGTGCCTCACCAGGGCTCAGCAGAGGGGCAGGATCACCTCCCTGACTTGCTGGCAAGGCTCATCCTAATGCACCTCAGGATACCATTGGCCTTGGCCCCCAGGACACACTGCAGGTCACGGACAACTTGTCATCCAGCAGGACCCCCAGTCCTTCCCTGCAGAGCTGCTCTCCAGCAGGTCAGCTCCCAGCTTGTATGGGTGCCCAGGGTTGTTCCTCCCCAGGTGCAGGCATTTGCCTTGCTGAATTTCAGACGGTTCCTCTCTGCCTGTCTCTGTCTCTCCAACCTCTCGAGGTCCCTCTGAAGGGCTGCACAGCCCTCTGGGGGATCAGCCACTCCTCCAGCTTTGTGTCAGTGAACTTGCTGAGGAGGCATTGACCCCTTCATCCGAGTCATTGGTGAGTAGGTTAAACAATGCTGGGCCCAGTACTGAACCCTGATGGACACCACTAGTGACAGGCCTCCAAACTAGACCCTGATTACGATCCTCTGGGATCTGCCATTCAGTCAGGTCTCAGTCCACCTCGCTGTCCACTCATCCAGCCCACACTACCTGAGTTTGCTGAGAGAAGGTGTCAAAAGCCTCCCTGAAGCTGATTAGACAATATCCACTGCTCTGCCTCAGAAGATGCTGCAGCTATAAGTTTTGGAAAGAAGAGCCACACGTGTTTGGTGAGTCCTCAGTCCCTGTTTCCCCTGACAGGGTCCCTGTTGCAATGCACAGTGTACACACAGCTGTGTGCTCTGTTCTCCCACACCATGTTGCACACACACAGGCACTCGGGGAGGTTCCCTGCCCATGTAAACCAGGGCATTGATTGATGGTTCGTGGCTTTCACCTTGTTCACCCTGCTGCTCTGTGCAACCCAGCTGTGGTTTGTTTCAGGATCAATAACAGGTAATCAGCAATGTGGTGACAGTGATGTGCCATGTACCAGGGAGCAGCATCCTCCTGTGGGTCAGGACCATATTCCTAAAATGAAAGAAATGACAGAGTTGGTCAGGTTTGATGCTACTTGTACTTCACAATATGTGTAGTTACAGCACCTGGTATTACATACTCAGCCTTATGAAATTGCTGTCATGTATTTCACTGTTACTTGACATAATATGAAGCTGTCTCAGGGGAGGGTTAGGCTGGATATTGGGAAAAGGTTCTTCCCCCAGAGGGTGGTCAGGCACTGAACAGGCTCCCCAGGGAAGTGGTCACAGCCCCAAGGCTGCCAGAGCTCAAGGAATGTTTGGACAATGCTCTCAGGGACATGGTGGGATCATTGGGGTGTCCTGTGCAGGGCCAGGAGCTGGATTTTGATGATCCTTGTGGGTCCCTTCCCTTTGATTCTGTGATTGTATACCAGGTTATATGCCTTGTTCAGGTCATGGCCAGTAGGAGTCAGAGCAAAACTGAGAGCAGCTCTGCATGCAGTTCTGGGCAGCTACTGTGAACATTATGTCTTGCATACTACGTGTCCTTGAATTATGGAAAAGATTTTCATGACCCAGCATGGCTCAGCTTTTACCTGAGGATACCTTTTACCTTAGGAGACCTCAGAGCACATGCTGCAATTTTTGTGTTGGTGCCAACAGAGTGGTAGGAGCACTCAATTCTGGGGAATGCCTGCAGGAGCTTTCTCTTGAAAAGCACAGGTCAGGCATTGCCTTGAGCAAAATGAGTCTGGCTCCTGCTGATACAGAGCTGAGATGACCAGATTAAACCTGTGCTGTTTAAGGCTCTGCCTTACCTGAGAATAACAAATTCTTGCCATACACGCTCCTGTACTAGGTGGGACCCCCCCAGCCCCATCTTCAAGGTCACAGCCTGGTTGGAGTCTCCTTGGGAAAAGTGTCCAGGAGTCCAGCTCATGCAAAGCCCTCCCAGCACCTGGAAAGCAGCAGGTTAGAAACTTCCTGAGCACTGACACCTTTGTTAGAGCTTTTTCAGCACTTCTTCATGAAGCTTCCTAACCTCTTTTCTTGAACCTGTTGACCCTCACCACACCCAGTGACAGCCTGTCCCGACCTTTGAGCTGTGGGAAAAAGCTTTTCCTTCTGTTTGAAGTACCATAGCAGATCCAGTATTGTCACACAGCAGGTATCTGGAGATTAGATTAGGTGTTAGGAAAGAATTCTTTACTGGACTGGAAGGGACTTTAAAGATCATCCAGTCCCACCCCCCTGCCATGGGCAGGGACACCTTCCTCTAGACCAGGTGGCTCAGAGTTCAGTCCAGCCTGGCCTTGAACACTTCCAGGAATGGGGCAGCCACAACTTCTCTGGGCAACCTGTGCCAGGGCCTGTGCCAAATAGCCTGGGCTGAATGCCAGTTCAGTATGAGAGAGAAATGTGTCTCCAGTTTTTATTGCACTGTATTTATCTGTAATCAATTTAATCTGTTTGCAGATCCATTATAGCATCCAATGATTAGCTTGATAATTTGAAAAAGAGTCAAAAGCACTGGACGTTTGTTGTGCAGGGAAAAACATGGAGACAGCAACAAAGTGTTGCAGAAGTTGCCAAGGAATTTTTTTCGTCCCTGTTACATAAATGGGGAGTGCTCCTTGAATCCTCGAGCTGATGTGGTTGGAAGTGATCTTTTTTCCATCTTCTAGGAGTGAAGATGCTCTTTATCAGTGTTTGTTTGTAGGTTCCTTGGTCCCTCTCAAATCTCAGAGTGGTATGACTGCATTTCCACATGCAATCAAAGGGTCAGTGACACTTTTGGCCTCACAGTATTTGTGTTTTCTTTGTCCTGCAAGCTCTGCTGTGCCCCCCTGCATGGTAGCACAAACTGCCCTGCCAAATAACAGGTGGCTGCAAAAGCTGTTCTGTTTTCTGGGACGTGTTGTCTCTTGCAGAAACGTGAATAATCACTTCCCAAGAAACTACTGGAGAGGTTCTGTTCAGCTTTTTTGTCCTCAGGTGCCTTTGTTACATTTTTCCATATCTCAGCAGTGGGACCAATTCTGGGCTTGTCCTTTTCTTGTTTTTCCCTTAAAAAGGATGATGTTTTTGCAGATGTCTGCGTAGTGAAAATACATTTCCAAGCAGAACTGAACCAACAGCCATCTGAAAATACTGTCAAGTCCCAAATCTGAAGGTAAGGAAAAGCATCTCTTTTAGATACCTGGCACCATTATCATTTTTATTTAAATAAAGTTGCATGTGATCTGAGTAATAGGGAGCAGTGGGGTGCATCCATGTACTACCAGTTTATGGCCTATTTATGGAGCCAAGACTTGTAGGATGTTACTTCAAAGGCTTTCAGAAGCCAAATAGTCATAAGGATATTTACAAACCTTAAATCAAATAAAAAATCCTTGTGCAGTGCAGTTAGCTCTGTTCCAAAGAAAACAAGATGCCAGCTTGTCCTGTAAAACAAAAGTGATGCATTGGCCACAGCAGCAGAGTCTTGAATTTGCTACATTTGCCCACTGCAAAAATGCCTGAATAACAATCACAGACCCAGAAAATTTCTTTTTTTTTTTTTTTAACTCTAGGATAGAAAACTGCAACAGGCCACTACTGCATTTTCCTTGTATCTGGAGCTTGTTTCCACTGCTCTGTGTCCAGCTGGCTGCAGTGGCTGTGGCATAGATGGATGTTAAATTGGTCACATACCATGCCAGGAATGAAAACTTTGGATTTCATGCTTCCTGTTTGAAAACCAGAGAGTGCCATGTTACTGCAGGCAACGTCCCGTCTGCACTTGCATTGTTCAAGATAAAACCATGTGTCCAGTCCACCCTTGCCCAGGATGGAGCTAAACAGTTAAATGAGTTTATAGTGGCAACAAAGAACAATCCTGAAAGATGCATTTGAAAACAAACAGTTTCAGCAGTCAGCTGTAGTGACCTTGCTTTGGAAGGCAGCACAGCCTTGGCCAGCTCAAGGTCACCTGAAGTTCTGTTGTGGGTTTCTTTTTTTAAGCTACACATTTTCCACAGCAAATGTGAAATGTTTGCAGTTTCTGCCCTTGCCTCACCTCATACAGTAAAAGTGATTTCAGGGATGTGCACAGTGTCACCAAGTGTGTTCTTACATCCTCTCTGCTGGGATGGATAACAGAAAGTGGCCTCTCCTCAGTGCCCACAGCTGGAATTTCCAGCACAGAGAGGACCATGCAGAGAGTCAAACACATTGGAAAGCCAGCTGGGACAAGGAGCTTGAGAACTGCAGGGAAAATATGGAATATTTTAAAGCTAAGTATACAAAAGCAATGGGGAATTTACACATAAGAAAAGGGAGAAAAAAATTTGAAGGAAGGATGGCTGGGGAGGTTTGGAGACAGAAGGAATGGGAAAAAGAACTGCTTACAAAAGCCTCTACCTTGGAGATGTGGAAGACCATGGCTATATCAAGGCTTACCAAGCTATATCAGGTGGTAAAGGAAATCATAGCAAACAAAAGAGTTCCAGAATATATAAGCGAAGATGGAATTTGGAAGAAAAAGCAGCATCAGCAACAATGGCAGGGTGGAGGTTAAGGGTAACCCAGATACTGTCACAAATAAAAAAAATGCTTTGTCCCACTTTCATGGTGGACAAATCAGAGTCCAGAACTGGACCTTCCTAAATAAGATCAAATCCCACAGATGGATTGTGCTCAGATGTGTTTCATCCCAGTGAACGAGCCGACTTAGAAGACCAGCCTGGCCAGCTCTTCGATGACTGACTCATCAGCTCTTCAGTGACTGAATTTCAAGATGAAGGATTAATACAGAAAATGGAATTTTGGATCATTTGCTAAAGAAGAAGATGGAAAAGGAAAATGAGTGAGTAGAGACCACATCATCCAGGTCAAGACACAAAATGAGCGGTAACTAAGAACAATTGTAAAATATATGAAAGGATCATCTTTTAAGGACAGGAGGAAAGACAAGGCCAAGGAAAGATACAGTCTGTTACTGGGAGAAGCAAAAGGGAGTTATCAACAATGCACCTTAAAATACGTGAGCTGTGGAGGAATGGCAGAGAATGAAGAACTGATATAAATAGATAAATACATTGAGCAGCTGCCTCCCTGCCATGTGCTCTCATTTTCTCTGCTGCCAGAGAGCATGGATGTTTCTTATTTATTTACTTCTAATTACTGAGATACAGACTGCCACTGATGAGATAAATGTAGCTCAGAATGCTGGTCTTCCCCTTCTCTTCCCTCAGGGTGTCTCCTCAGCATCTCTATAAAAACCTTGTGAAAATTCCACTTCTCCAGACCCCACACCATCTCTCCAATGCCCTGGGCTCTCAGCCCTCTCCCCAGTCCCAGGACAGTCAGTGCCAGGAGCAGAGGCAGAGGCCAAGCTGCCTGACTTCCAGGCATTTATCCAGCTGCATGAGGCAATGGCATATCCAACAAAATCTGAGAGACTAGGCTGGTGAAAAAGAGATGGAAAAGAAGGAGGGGAGTATGAGAGGAATGGGTGTGGGTCTGATGTAGGTTGTTGGCAGGGATCATCAGGGCAGAACAGTCACAGCTGGTATTTATGAGGCTGCTGTTTCCATTCAGGATGATGGGACGTTCCCTTTTTTCCTGGCTCCAAGTGCAATTGTTCACCTTTACATACAAAAAAAATCCAACTCTGCACTTTGCCGAATTGTGCTTATTTTGTGCAGTAAAATCCCTTGTTATCCATGCTGGTCTCAAATAGGCATGTGCAAAATGTGGATTGTGCAGATTTCACACATACTGAGTCCTCCTGTCTGCTTGGAAATAACCTGTGTCATCACACCCTTGCTGTCTGTGCAGACAAACCTCTGTTTTACAGAGCCTCTGGGGTGGGTGCTGTGGAAGAACTACAAGGACAGAAAAGTCGTTCTGGAACAAGTTTTGCTTTTTGGCCCAAAAGCTTGTCCAGAATAGATGAAAACCTGAGTGGAGAAGCCCAGCAGGACTTGTGTTCACTGAGTTCATACAGAGCCAGAGCAGGAAGGTTTCTTTTCATTGTTCCCTTTGTTTAGCAAACACTTCTCCAGATACCAGCAATACTGTTAATCTGGCAGGAGCACTTTTGTAAACCCCTCCAATCATTCTTCGTGTCCAGAATAAGTTTCCATCAAAAATACTATCTCAGAATAATGTTTGTTTTCAAAATACAGCTCTCCTTGTCCTGCTGCACTGTCTTCATTGGCTGGAGCGAGATAAAAGGGCTTGGCTGAGTAACTCAGATCTCAAGGGAAGCAGCACATGGTCCAGGTTCACAGTTGTCAGCCTTGTGCTTCCCCTGTTCCGGGTGTGCTGCAAGGTGGAGACAGGTCTGTCCACAGGGGGAGAAGCTCCAGGTAGTAAGGAAACTACCAGTGTGTCTCCTGGCAGCCAGAGGTAAGAGATTTGGGCTGGGACTAGTGGTGTGAAATCAATGTGTAGGGCAGGGGAATGAGATTTCTCATCATCCCAGTTCAATTTCCGAACTACAGTCACTCTGGGTGTCCTCTCAGGAGCATTTTTCTCTGTGTGTACCGTTCAGTTTTGACAAAAAGGTACATTTTGTTGCAGGTACATTTTGGCTGGAAAGCTTGGATGAGCTCTGGAAAGTGTCTCTGTTACTTAACCAGACAGAAAAAGTAGGATGGTTTCGTTCTGCAGATGGGAGCCCCTGTGATGTGCATGTTTGGTGCAAGCCAGCAATGTAATTTACAATTTTGTAGCGTTGAAGGAAAAATTATTTTGCAAATTACCTCCCTTGCCCACATGCTGCATTCCTAAAAGTATCACTTGGAATATCTCAACATTTTCAAAATAGTTTTTGCTTAAGTAAAAGTGCCACTAAGAAACACAGACTACCTGAAGGAGTTTTAGTTTCAGTGAAATAATATTGTCTGATTTTAACCCATTCTGCTGTCCTGTTTCAAAACAAGAGGTATGTTAGGAAGGAGCACAGGGGTCTCTGTAGTTCTGCCTCTGATGTGGGCACCTGTGCCAGCATGAATGTATTTAAACCATAGGCTCAAGGTTGTGGTTAATCAGGTAAATGACAACAAATAAATCAACCAGAACTATGGGAAAGTGCTTTTCTGTTTGGTTTGTCTGAGGTTATTTTCCTTTATTTATTTATCTATCCATGCACTCTGTATGAGGCCCGGAGCTAAGCAAAGCAAATTATGTACATGACTGCAGCCCTTCATGACTGCCTGCTCTCCTGCCTTAGCTCTCCTGGTGCCATGGAGGACACATCCAGCCAGAAGTCCGGACCAAGCAAAGACACACTGGGCTCCCCAATGCCACAGGAGACTCCTGCCCAGTTCATCCACGTCAAGTTGGAGGAGTATGAGCCCACAGACTTCAGAACCAAGGAACTCATCCTAAAGAAAGCCAGAGAGGTCTGCACATGCAATCGTCAAACCATCATCACCTTCCTGTGCCAGTTGTTCCCAGTGCTGGACTGGCTCCCCCGCTACAACATCAAGACACAGTTGCTTGGGGACGTCATATCTGGGCTCCTGGTGGGGATAGTCACCATCCCTCAGTCCGTCTCCTACGCCCTCTTAGCCAGCCAGGATCCCATCTACGGGATCTACACCAACTTCTTCTGCAACATCATCTACGTCGCCTTGGCCACTTCGCGGCACAACTGCGTGGGCTCCTTTGGGGTGCTGTGCCTGCTGGTGGGGCAGAGCGTGAACCGGCACCTGCGGCTCGCGGGGTACGGCGACGACAGCTCCGACAGCTCCTCACTGCCGGGCAACGCCACCTCCGCCGGCAACGGGACGGGCGCCTGCGACAGGAGCTGCTACGCCATCACCGTGGCCCTTTCCTTAAGCTTTCTGGTTGGCCTTTACCAGGTACAAATGTTTGCTCTTGTGCTGTTTCCTCCCTGTCCTTTCCCTGCTAGGAATTTCTCTGAGTTTGAGATCTCTAAGCTCCAGTCTTGGTTTGGACTTGTAAGTTGTGAGAAACATTTCCTGGTGCGACTAGACCCCAACATCCTTGACTCCCTGTGAATGTAGTGATTTTAAAAAGTGCAAACACAGCTGAGTGGGGGGTTTTGTTTCCCCCATGTGATAGACCAGATCCTTGAAAGTGTCTGAAACATCCTCAAGATCAGACACAGCAAGGGAGAAGAGGAACTGTGAACCACCTTCCCGCCACCCCAGTCCTGGACCTGGGCAGCTTAGAGCAGATTTGGGGCTGATCAGAACCACCCTCAAGGACCCTGCCATGCTCCCTGCCTGGGCTTAGCTGTCACTGAACAACTCCAGGCTTTTTCACTGGGACAGCTAAAATTTAGAGCATCACAATGGTTTTATGCCACTGAGTGATACCCAGAGCTGCTTTGGTGGGGCTTCTGCCTGGAATCTCAGTGTTAACCATGTGCCCTTATTGCTTCTAAGGAGGAAGTAGCAGGGACCTCGTAGGCTTCTTTGTATGGCATCCCTGTAGCCAGAGACAGGTGTTAGAGGTAGGTCTCTTTAATTTTTCATATACCAGATTAACTACTGAAGACAAAGTCCTCTGCCTCACACTGAATGCTCATCAGACAGAGTAGCCAAAGCTGCTAAACTGGAAGCAAACTGACCTCTTCCAGCCCTTCTCATCCATGCTAAAGGTATGGCTGGTTTGCTTTTCAGATCCTGCTGGGTGTTTTACAGCTGGGATTTGTGGCTGTCTACCTGTCAGAACCTCTCCTTGGTGGCTTTGTGACCGGCTCCAGCCTCACCATTATCACCTCCCAGATGAAGTATCTCCTGGGACTGAAAATCCCTCGTCACGAAGGGGTGGGGTCATTCATCCTGACCTGGGTTGACCTTTTCAGATACATTCAGAACACCAACATCTGTGACCTGGTCACCAGCCTGGTTGCTTTGGCCATCATAGTGCCTGTCAAGGAGATCAATGACCGGTACAAGGAGAAGATGAAGGCCCCGTTCCCCATAGAGCTGCTGGTGGTCATTGTAGCCACAGTCATATCTCACTACTTCAACTTTGAAAAGCGATACAAGTCTGCTGTTTGTGGGGATATCCCCACTGGTTTCAGGAAACCCACTTTACCAGATATAAGCCTGTTTTCCAGCCTGGCAGTTGATGCTGTGCCCATTGCTGTTATTGGCTTTGCCATGACCATCTCCCTGGCAGAAGTCTTTGGCAAAAAGCATGGCTACAGTGTCCGTGCCAACCAGGAGATGATCGCCATTGGCATGTGCAACCTGATCCCTTCCTTCTTCTACTGCTTTGCCAGCTCTGCAGCCCTGACCAAGACTCTGCTGAAGGAGTCCACGGGGACCCAGACCCAGGTCTCTGGCCTGGTCACCTCCCTGGTGCTGCTGCTGGTGCTGCTGTGGATTGCCCCGCTCTTCTACTCGCTGCAGACCTCCATCCTGGGGGTGGTCACCATCGTCAACCTGCGGGGGGGCCTCAGGAAGTTCCGTGACACCCCCCGGATGTGGCGGCTCAGCAGGCTGGACACGGTGGTGTGGTGGGTGACCATGCTGTGCTCCACCCTGATCACCACAGAGATCGGGCTCCTCGTGGGCGTCTGCTTCGCTCTGCTCTGCATCATCTTCCGCACGCAGAGACCCAGGGCCGCGCTCCTGGGCAAGGTCAGCAACACGGAGATCTACGAGGACCAGTCCACTTACAAGCAGCTCAGCAGCATCGCCAACATCAAAATCTTCCGCTTCGAGTCGTCCCTCTACTACGCCAACAAGGACTATTTCAAGACTGTTCTGTACCAGAGAACTGGGGTAAATCCTGTTCTGCTGGCTGCTAAACACCAAAGGGTGGGGGCCCAGGCAAACACAGAGACAGGCAACAGCAAGAGCTTTTTGGGCACTGGGTTTGACTGCCTGAAACAGGCCAAGAAAAGGGCTGAGAAGCCTCCAGCGGATGCCTGTCCTCCCTCCATAGATATGCACACCTTAATCCTTGACTGCGGGGCAATGCAGTTCATAGATACTGTGGGTCTCTCTGTGCTAAAGGAGACATATCATGACTATAAGAAGATTGGTGTCCAGGTGTTCCTGGCCAACTGCAACCCCTCCATCCGCCACCGCCTCCAGGAGGGAGGCTGGACTGGCGAGACAGGCAGTGAGGGTCAGCTGGCTTTCCACAGCATCCATGATGCAGTGCAGTTTGCTGAGTGGTGGTACCATGTGCACCAGGAGGAAAGCAAGGAGAAACAGGATGCTCTCCTGGACCCCGAAGACCTGAACTTCCAGGTGTCTTTGTAGACCTGTGTGTGGGGAATGATTTCTAACGGGGAAGGGCTTTACGTACTCGAGAGCAGTTTCAGTCTTTGTGCAGTCAGAGCGCGCAGGAGAGACTTGTGATGATCTGCCAGCAGCGGCATGGGGCAGAAGGATGGGGGGAGAGATTTGAGGAGAGATTGGCAACAGGTAAATCGTCGGGAGGCGTTTCGGGGTCCGTCGTGCCGGTGAGAGCCGGGGCGGCGTTTGACGCGCTCCCGCCCTGCACTGCCCCGCGGGGGCGCGGGGGGGCGCGAGTGAGACGCGCTCGGGGCCGCCTCCCGCAACCCCGGCGGGCTCGGGGAATCCCGGGATGGTTTGGGGGGGAACAGACCTAAAGGTCATCCCCTTCCAGCCCCCTGCCATGGGCAGCGACACCTTCCGCTAGACCAGGTTGCTCCAAGCCCCGTCCAACCTGGCCTTGGACGCTTCCAGGGATGGGGCAGCCACAGGGTCAAGATGGGACACTAAGGCAAAGGAAGGAGGAGCTGCAGTGAGGTCAAGAGAGACATGGAGCTCCTGGAGTGGGTCCAGCGGAGGCTGCGGAGATGATGAAGGGACTGGAGCATCTCCCTTACAAGAAAAGGCTGAGGAAGCTGGGGCTGTTCAGCCTCGAGAAGAGACACTGAGA